TCAATTTTGGCCGGCTTGGTCCAGAGTATCGATCCTTGGTTACTACTGTGTCTCTGTTTCCTCATCAATTTCCTTTTGACATCCTACAACCCCGTCTTCTGGAGGAAGAACAACGAGTTCTGTCTGAGCGTCAACAGCAAGTTTCGGCCGGACATTAGGCCTTTGTGGTTGTTGCCGCCGGTGGACAGCAACCGGCTGGTTATCCGAATCGCGGCAGAGGAGGCCGCGGACGGGGTGGCGGCCGTGGCAGAGCAGGCCACGGTCGTGGTAGGGGTCTGCAGTATCAATACGGACCGCAACAGCATCCTGGTGTTCCCTCCTTCGGTCAGCAACAGGTCAGTCCACAGCAGCACTTCAGCGGCCAGCAGGGGTCGCATCAGCAGGGAGCAGGACCGAGCAAGTTGGGGTATGGCTCGGTCAACACGGGCAGCAGGTTTCGCTTCAGGGGGTGGCGTCTCCTCGTCCACACACTTCAGGTTCTGCATGTAATTCAGCTTTGTCAACTTTAAATACTAATCCCTATTTTATTCATGATACTCATACAAGCACTGCAGGTTTTCCATCGGGTGAGGGCATCATGGGTTCTGTTCCACCACCCATTGTCTGTCAACTGTGTTTTTCTGCAGGTCATTCTGCTCTTCAATGTCCATCTCGTTTTAATCAGTCATCCGCTCCAGCTCTTCTGACCTCCAATGATGGTGAATCCAATGCTGCTTTATGGTACCCTGACTCTGGGGCTTCGGCTCACATGACTCCTTCGGAAGGTATTTTAGTTAATAAATTCCCTTATACCGGTCCACTTTCTGTTAGTGTCGCTAATGGCTCTAAACTTCCGATAGCTAATATTGAGGATGTGCATTTGAATTCTTGAAGTCGTTCTCTCACGTTAAAATCTATTTTTCATGTGCCTCATATTAAATTTAATTTATTATCCATTCAAAAACTTTGTGCTAATAACAACTGTGTTGTAATTTTTGATAAAAATTCTTTTTTGTTAAGGACAAAACTTCGGGGAAGGTCCTTCTTCAAGCACCTAGTCATGGTCATCTCTATCCAGTCAGCGTCAGCCCCAAGCATCCACTTGCATTGTCTTCCATCACTTCATCTGGCCCTGTGTGGCATCGTAGACTAGGCCATTGTGGCACTTCTATTTTACGTAGTTTACGTAGTCAGCACCATATTAGCAGTAGATCTAGTTTTTCTCACGATTGTATTTCTTGCCGCTTAGCCAAGTCACAACGCTTACCCTTTACAGATGCTAGTCATAACTCTATTATGCCTTTGTAATTAATTCATTCTGATGTTTGACAGTCTCCCATTTTATCTAATTTGGGGTTTAAGTATTATGTGTGTTTTATTGATGATTTTTCTCGCTATACTTGGCTTTTTCCCATGCGCACAAAGGCTGAAGTTTTTCATCATTTTCAAAATTTTAAATCTTTAGTTGAAAATCTTTTTAACACACGAATTAAAAATTTTCAAAGTGATGGAGGGGGTGAATTTGTTAATTTTAATATGCATCAATTTTTTTGACCTTCATGGCATATATTTTCGGAAATCCTGTCCTGAAACGCCTCAACAAAATGGGGTTGCTGAACGTAAACATAGACATTTATTAGAACTCACTCGAACTATGCTTCTCGAAGCATCACTTCCTAGTCAGTTTTGGGTAGATGCTATTTTTACGACTGCATATATTATTAATCGTTTACCCTCTCCTTTACTTAGTAATAAGTCTCCATATGAAAAACTTTTTCAAACATCACCTGATTATTCCTTTATGTGTGTGTTTGGTTGCTCCTGCTTTCCAAATATTTCGGCTACTTCTGCGAATAAACTTTCTTCTCGATCTGTTCACTGTATGTTTATTGGCTATGCATCTGGCTATAAAGGGTATCGTTGTCTTGAGCCTAAGTCCGGTAAAGTTTTTGTCAGCCGTCATGTTCGTTTTCTCGAAAATATTTTTCTATATAAATCATTGATGTCCTACATGCCTGCTTCGACCTCTCCCTCCGATAATACTGACTTCCACTTGACCAATACCCTTAGACCTCTACTGTCACAACCCATCCATCCCTCTTCCCAACAGCCTGCTGGTCAAGCTTCGAGGTTGGCTCCAGCAGCTACCCGGTCTGTTGTGTGTCCGTCTACTGCTACCAGCTCGGCAAATCTTCCAGCCATTACCCATACAACCAGCCCCACTTATTCCTCTCCTACTCCTTCGGACCAGACCCCATCCTCCTCTCCACATCGCTAGAACACCCAACAGCAAACCCACAGCCACCCTGCCACACATCCATCTACCAGGCCGCATACTTCCATCTCTTCAACTCCGGTGTCTACTGATATCTCCTCCAATACGTCCAGTCAGTCCTCTCCTCCTCGTTCCAGTGCATCATCTTCCCCGTTGAATGTTCATCCTATGCAAACCCGGGCTAAGTCCGGAATTTTTAAGCCTAAATCAATTTTTACGTTAAACACGGTTGTTAACTCAGCGGATCCGACTTGTTTTTCTGAGGCACATAAGAGTTTGGTTTGGCGTGAGGCCATGGCTGAAGAATTTAAGACACTTATTTCTAATAATACTTGGGATTTAGTTCCATTTGATAGCACTAAAAATGTGGTTGGGTCTAAATGGATTTATAAAACTAAATTCCATTCGGATGGGTCGATTGAGCGTCATAAAGCTCGCTTGGTTGCACAGGGTTTTAATCAGCAGGCTGCGGTAGATTTTTCTGAAACTTTTAGTCCTGTCGTTAAACTCACCTCTATTCGTATTGTTCTTTCTCTTGCTATATCTTTTGGGTGGGTTATGCGTCAGTTGGATGTCAAAAATGCATTCCGTCATGGCTATCTTACTGAAGAAGTCTATATGCGTCAACCGCGGGGTTTTATTCATCCTCAGTTCCCTCATCATGTGTGTCGTCTGCGCAAGGCTATTTATGGTCTTAAGCAGGCCCCGCGGGCTTGGTTTCATCGTTTCAGTAGCTTTTTGCTTACTCATAATTTTGTATGCAGTAAATCTAATAATTCATTATTTATCTTTCACCATGGTCAGTCAGTTATTTATTTATTATTATATGTTGATGATATTATTGTGACTCGTAATTCTCCATCTCTTGTGTCTGCCTTTATTAGTCGCATTGCGTCTCATTTTGTTATGAAGGATCTTGGTGACCTCCACTAATTTTTGGGGGTTCAGGTTGTTCGAAACTCTAAAGGAGTATTTTTATCTCAACAAAAATATGTGTCTGATCTTCTTCTTCGCTTCCATCTACACACTCTCAAGTATGTCCGTACACCTCTTGCCACTCGCACAACTCTCTCCCTCACTGATGGTGAACTTCTTGCAGATGCCACTGAGTATCATAGTATGGTAGGTGCATTACAGTATTTAACTTTGACTAGGCCTGATATTACTTATGTAGTTCATTTAGTGTCTCAGTTCATGCATGCTCCACGCACTACTCACATGCTTGCTGTCAAGCGCATATTTCGGTATTTACAGGGTACTATTGATCATGGATTATGGCTTCAGGCTTCTACTAATCCCATTCGTCTCTTGGCCTATTCTGATGCTGATTGGGCAGGATGTCCTGATAGTTCTCGCTCTACTTCTGGATTTGCCATTTTCTTAGAACCGAATCTTATATCATGGAAGTCTAAGAAGCAGCCTACCGTGTCCAAGTCATCGACAGAGGCCGAATATAGAGCCATTGCATACACAGTGCAGGATACCCTTCACATTCGTTCCATCCTCTTTGAGCTGGGTCTACCGGTTCGTATTCCTGTCCAGCTATTCTGTGATAATATATCGGCCTCATATCTGACAGCTAATCCAGTTCAGCATGCTCGGAGTAAACATATTCAGATTGACTATCATTTTGTTTGGGAAAGAGTTGCTCATGGTGATTTGGTTGTTCAATATGTTCCTACACATCTCCAGCTAGCGGATATTTTTACTAAGAGTTTAACTAGTCAGCAGTTTCATTTTTTAAAAGACAACCTGCGCGTTGTATCTCCCGCACAGCTTGAGGGGGTGTAATAGTTTATATTAATTAGGAATAATTATGTATTTTGGAAACTACCTTTTATTATAAATATACCTGCCAGGGCTCCTATTGGAGTACGGCTTTCCCATAATTCTCACATGATCTTGTATCATCTTTTTCCCTCTTTTTTCTTCTTCTTTTTTTTTATATATTTTTATCCTTATATATAAATATTACTTTATCCGTTGTATTTTATCTTTTATATGTATATTCATCTCTTTTATATTATCTTTTTTTATAATAGCTTATTTTTTTATCTTTATTTTCTTTCTTTTCCTTTTGGTGATATTATGTATCAATTCATGTTAGCCGACCCCAATATCGTTTGGGACTAAGGCTTGGATGTTGTTGTTGTTGTTTAGTCCTAATTCGGGAACTTTCCCAAAACATAAATACTCCATAGATCATATACAAGCACTAAACTACGTGACAATCCTATATTGGAATTTTCAAACCTTTTTAGTCCTATTTCGGGTAATATTCTCCTTATAGAATCATAAAACCTCAATTGTTTAATTTCATACTACCTCCGTCCCAAATTGATTTGCACATTTGACTTTTCTTGGTCAAACAGTTTCATTTTGTTTGCGTAATTAGGATGTCTAATTTTAGTTATATTATAATTTGGAGTTTACATCTTTGAAGAGATTTTAATGTATTTTTCGAATATGTAAGTTTTAATGATTAAAAACTGGATTAATTATCGACAAGGAGAGTTGACTTTTATTATTGGTTGATCAAAAAATTTTGAATTTGCAAAACAATTTGGGACGGAGGGAGTATTTAATTATGCATGTTGTTGTCATGAGTATATATAAACATATACGGAATATACACGATAGAGATCTAATTTACTCCATCTGAAATTAATACTACGAAGAAGAGATCAAAAAGTGGCCGGCATAATATATATACAAGTATGAAGTAAAAATTAAAATTACTACTTACTCTAAATCTGGAGGGGTGAATTTGAGTTGAGCTTGGTTGATGAGTGATTTGACATTATCCCAGTATTGCAACGAAGCTTTGGTAAAGAGGGTATACGTCTCGCGTAATATTTCTTGAGGAGACGCCTTCTCTTTGTTGTCTTCATCAGCATAAGATGAAAAGATTATACAACTGGAAAAGAATATGAAGAAGAGTAGAAATGATGACTTCCTTTTGGAATTTGCCAACATTATATTATATACAACGTTAAATATTAATCTTCGTGCAATGTTTGTTTAGTTTTAGGAAGCTAATTAATTAAGGTTGGTTGGGAAGTATCGACCAGTCTACAAAAGAGGGAGACGTGTGGGTTTTATCGTATACGTAGGATCGGACTACAAACATACCCACGTTTGAACATTTCTCATAGATTAATATAACACCCAATAATTAACGGAAAGTGGAGTGCTGGTTTTTTTGGGAAATCGTTTTCTAGGAGGATAATCGAAGATCACACCCGTTGATTGCTTTTTTGGTCTTACATTAAGATGTAATTAATTCATACGTAGTATTTTTTTTTAATAATAAGATTCTTTAGATGATGTGTAGTCTAGTCGTTGTCGTCAATAATTTCATTAGTTTTTGTTTGTATATAATAACATAAAACTAGTTGTACACTTTAATGTACACTTTTTTTTTGAACACATGCAATTATATGTATATTTGACAATTAGGGATGTAAACAAAAATATATACATCAAATGATACTTGCAACATTTTGCGCAATTAAGGGATGACGTTTTTGATCGAGATGTTTTCAATTAAGGGAAAAGTACGAAAAAAGTATATATGATTTGGCATGTTTTCATATAGGGTAATGCGTTTCATTTTTTAACAAAGTGGGTCATATGTTTAAACTCAGTTATCACAAGAGGGGTCGGACGTCTGACGCCGTTAGAAATCGCCGAACGAAAACGATGAAAAGTAACTCCGATTTTCAAAAGTGTCCGAAAAATTAAAATAAAAATATTGAGAAATGCGCTTCAAACTAGATGACCTCTATGGCATCTTTTCTTTTTGTTCAGGACTGTCTTTTAGGAGGTGCAATAGGTGTTTGGCACCGAGGCCCATTGTTATAGGGGGTCTCCAAAAATTTAGAATGTAGTATTAGTTATAAGTTGATTTTTTAGATGTTAAGTATTATTCAAGATTCCAAAAGAAAATAATTTAAAAAATTTTAAATTCTCTAATTTGTGTACTTTAAACATCATAAAATTTTTCCCTTTTAAATGTCCCGTTTTACCATATTGGGATAGGCCTGGACTCGAGCCGGTTCGGGCCTGGGCCCGGCCGGGCCTCGGGCCAGGAAATGGGAGGCCCGGGCCCGAACCGCCGGTGGCCGGTTCCGGTCCCGGTTCCGGGCCAAACCGGGCCGGGCCGGGCCGAACCGGCCCACTTAATTTTTTTTTTTTTGTTCTCCTATTTAATCCCCTACCCCTCCCCCTCAACCCCAAACCACCTCAAATGGCCCAAAATACCTATTCCAACCCAAAACTTTAAAAAAAATTCAAAAAAAAAATTAAAATCCGGCCCGGACCGGGCCCGAACCGGCCGGGCCGGTTCACCATTTGGAAGGCCCGGGCCCGGAACCGGGAACCACCGGGCCGGTTCGACCCGAACCGCCGGTGGACCGGGCCACCGGGCCGGGCCGGTTGCTACAGTGGCCGGGCCGGTTCCGGGTCGGGCCGCCCGGCCCGAGCCCAGGCCTATATTGGGATGTCTCTATTTAATTGCCCCATACCTTATTTGGTAAACTTTGTGTGGCTCAAAATCATTCTTACTTTATTCTTACTTTATCAATTAATATCAACCACACAAACTCACTTTTCTTAAAACTCGTGCCACCATCTCCCGTCCCATTTAAAAGGGGACGGAGGGAGTATATAATTGAATTGTCTACTCTATTTGCATTTCATTGTTAAACATTGTATCTTATCTAGTTTAAAGGAGCCTCAATTTGTCACTTCGAACCGGGGTCTCTAAATTCATTAGACGACCCTGTTTTTTGTTTCTAACCATCCTTATCACCGAAAAATCCACCTCAAAAAATGATATAAGCGGAAATTTCCCGTCACTAGTCTTTTGTGAAATTACTCCATGCGAGTGGAGTACTCGAGCCATGCAGATCCGGTGGCCTTCCAGTTTTCTGAAAGGTGAGTGTTTTATATTCCGTCCAAATTATGTCAAAGATGAATGGGTAGGCAGATAGATAGAAATGTTATTTCAGTGACATCTGCATTTAAGTGGCAACAGGTTGAGATGGCCGAGTTGGTCTAAGGCGCCAGATTAAGGTTCTGGTCCGAAAGGGCGTGGGTTCAAATCCCACTCTCAACATCCTTTTTCCCCTCTTTTAGCCTGGAATAGACTTTTGGGTTACGACCTTGTTCCAAATCATACATGATAATTTATCTAAAATTACCTTTAAGGCCAGAAGTAACTATGATACCATTATTACTTTTTGTATTGTTTTTTTGAATGGAGGAAACTCAGGAAAGGCATGGTTTAGTAAATATTTCTAAATTTTAAATTTATGAAAATAAATAACAAGGGGATGTAATGACCTATGTTGTAAAAACTGGACCGGAGAGTGACCCGGCCACATGATTGGGTCACGGGTCAACCCGGGCCGGGTGGGTCAACTCGGTCAACGCCGGAAAACCGGTCAATGATTATACGTCTATATAAGAATAATAAACATATAATTATATATAAAATTATAATAAAAATTAGTTATTATTCATAATAATAAACTAACAATACTACTTATTAAGCATTTAATACACTGTTATAATATTTCAATGTATATTTTGATCTTATAAAAATATATAATGATATTTTTATTTTTATTGTACATCTATATTACAATTTGGCATGATGTTCATTCTTAAATAAATATATAAATATATTACGTAGTTTTTCTTTTTAAGGTATTGAAATTGCAATTTTTTGGTATAAAAAATGCATTAAAAATAAAAAAGAAATTACTTTTTTTGGTAAAAACACCCAAAAACTGGGTTTTACCGGGTTTTTTTCGGATTTCTTGGGTCCGGGTATGGCTGGACTCGGGCCGGTTCGGGCCCGGTTCGGGCCTAGGCCCGGCCGGGCCTCAGGCCAGAAAATTGGGGGCCGAGCCCGAACCGCCGGTGGCCGGTTCCGGGCCGGGCCGGGCCAAACCGGTCCTTTTTTTTTTGTTCTCCTATTTAACTCCCTCCCCCTCAACCCCAAACCACCCCAAACCACCTCAAATGGCCCAAAATACCTAATCCAACTCAAAATTTAAAAAAATTTCAAAAAAAAATAAAATTAAAATCCGGCCCCGACCGGGCGCGAACCGGCCGGGCCAGTTCGCCAAAAGCAGGGCCCGAGCCCGGACCGCCCATCACCCGGGCCGGGCCAAACCGAACCGTTGGACCCACCGGGCCCCGGGCCGGGCCGGGCCAAACAGTAACCGGGTCGGGCCGGTTCCAGGCCGGGCCCGTCCGGGTCTTGACCGGATTTCCCCGGGTCAGCCGAGTTTTTCCGGTTTTTGACCATTTCCGGGTTTTGAAAAAAACGAACCGGTTTTTTGTCCGGGTCACCGGGTTCCGGGTCAACCCGGCCGGGTCGGTTTTTTAAACATAGGTAATGACCACTGACAAAATGCGGTATGTGTATTTTAATGATGAAGAATATTGCATTTCATGTGTTTTGGTTCATTAAATTAAATTACATCAATGCAACAAACTTATAAGCAATTCAAATAATTGGCATCTTCAATGTTTTATCTATATACAAAATCTATCTAGCAATCTACCATTTTAATATCGTGAGTCTAATATATAAACCAAGCGTGAATCATCAAAAAGAAATAATAATGAATTAGTGACTAAATAATACTTCGTGGCAATGAAGAAAATTTTGACATACTAGTATAATTACTTAATTAGTGACTAGCTACCAGGGTGGAGGTATGCTCAAAGGGTAGGGTGGCCTTGTCACCCCCTTCCCCAACATTTTATATTTTTTATACTATTAGTAGTTATCCAAAAAAGTGGTATTTAGAAATTAAGTTTCTATGTAAAAGTAGTTAAATGTTAATACACTTAGTAACTATTATCATATTATATTAATGAAAGTGATACAAAGTATTTCCTCCGTCCCTTATAATTTTGTCATGTTTTCTTATTGATGTCCCAACAACTTTATTACTCCGTACTTTTTATTTTAATCAATGAATTTGTACTTCATGTTATTTCTCTCTCTTCTGTACAATTCTCAAACACACAAATTTTAACTTTATAATTTTTGTGTTAGTCAAAATTGGCAAAGTTTTGAGGAACGAACAAAGGGAATATTATATTATTTATGATTGATAGATGTATAATCTTAAATTTATTATTTTATTCAGTTTTATGTAGATGAAAAACTCAATCTGTAAGGCTTGTTTTGAGCTTGAAATATATTAGAGGAAAAATAGAGTGGATCTATAACTATGTGGGCTACTTTTTTTTAATCAAATCAAATAAATTAACTTTGATTTGAGATGGAATTCATCTTATATATTGATTTGCATAATTAGATAGCAATATATCTGATATATGCAAATAAAACTAAAAATATTAATCATATTTATTTCCTTTTAATTGTGTGATGCAAAACCAAATACAAAAACCACCATCTCATATCATTAGTTTTCCTTTCCTAAGCAATATCCAAACATGTCGTAAGAGAATGATTTTAAATCGTTATAGATAGTCTCAAAGAATGTAAATCGACCAATCTACAAGTGTAATAGACTAATAGTGTGCATATATTTCTATGTTTTACTATACATTTGATTGCTTGCTTTCATTTTTTGCCCTTCCTAGATGAGATCCTGGTTGTCTCTGCTAACTACAACAGTAAGATTGTGCACCAACAGATACTTGCGTTGAAACCATACTTACGTTATTTGCTCAGTTCTGAGTTCTCCCTCCACCTTCAGGCACCATGCCTTTTCTAAGATCAATCGTATCAAATGCGGTCAGCATGACAATTGTTTCCAGAAAAGAAATGAATAGTCTGGTAAAGCAAGCAAAATCTTCTCCCAGCTTTAATCTCGTCAGGATATTTATTCCAATTTGTCACAAAGTGCCATTTTTATACTCATTGCAGTCATGTTATACCCAATACATATAAACAATAAACAAAAAGATAAGGAAGCAAATCTTCATAACTGACATTGCATTATTGAAATAGGCACATTCATGTTGCTTGCCTTTAATTCAGGAACTATCAAACATAATAATATGGGAAGACAAGGGGCTTCCTAGAAAGAGCTTTTGATCCTTCACGATCATATATCTTCTTAATTTGATTCACCTTTGACTTTTAGTATTTAGTACATATGTACAACCTAATTCATGAAAAGGCTCAGGCTGAAACAGAACATTTACTCCAATTTTTATATTCCAAGAAATCATAGCCGCCCATAAGTTTCAAGCATATTCCTTAATTTCTTTGCTTCATCCCCCAAGTTGTCAAAGCTAATAGATTGAGGTATTCTCCAACTCCAGTTCCCAAACTGCATGGATAAAATGAAATAATTTGTCCAATTACATCTTTTTTTTCAATGTCTAAATTCTAATCTAAGTGTAGTAACTCCACCATATACTCACTGCATTAAATAGAACTGAAAGAGTATATTGAGAAGTTATAGGATGAATTAAGATTTGAGGATGATGTATTCCTGAGGTCCAAACAAAGGAAAGAGAATTACTTAGGAGATTCGGATTTTTTTATATCCCACCCCCACATGCTTGCTTTATTTCTTTATTTAAATCCCCCCATCCAAAATGTAGGATGATTCAGGTCTGACACGAGTTTTGAGAAAACAATGGAGATTGTTGTTATTTTGAAATTGTAACTTTCTAGAAAGAAGAAAAATAGTATGAATCCACAAGTGATCGGTGAATTTATAGATGATATGATAAAGCTGGAAAGAAAACAGTTATTGGATTTCATGTTAGAAAAGTTTACATACTTTTTAGACAAAAAAAAAAGGAAAGTCTATCTAACCATGTGGGGGACAAGAAGTATATTACTACTCTCTTTGCGCCCTTTTAATTTACAGTGTTTACTTTCTTTGGCCATCTCTGAATAATCTTCTCATCTCATTTTTGAAGAAATAATTTTATGGTTGATAGTGATTCTTTCTTTTCAAAATAGGAGCTTGTTTGGGAAGGGCTATTTGGTTCAAATGGCTCAATCTAACTAAATTCTATTTTATGAATGGTAAAACGTTGGGCAAAATCCATTTCAGTGAATAAGGCAAATACTACTTTTCTGCTAATGTTCTACTAATAAGTATAATAAGCAGAATAAGCACTTGATAATTTCTGGGCTATAAAAATTATGTTTTAAACTTGGTGCAAATCGAACAATGTTAAACAAATAAGGATGGAGAGACTAGAGAGTAATAAGAAAGCATATTTTGTTTCAACCTGTGTTGCAGGAATGTTCATCCTAGCAGAACTTCCAAGACCTAATATATCCTGCATGGGTATAATTGTGGTTTGTGCCACTGAAGAAAGTGCAGACTGGATTAGGCCCCAGGAAATTTCATGTTCATCAATGCCTGGAAGATACTTTAATACCTGATGATCGACATATGAATCTCAATGTCAGCCACATGACAAACATACGAGCCAAAAAGTTATTCTATCTACACCATACTCACATTGGATTTCTCTTCCTGTGGCAAGACATCCCACCAGCCTCTGATCTATAACAGTATAACACAATTTAGTAAAAAATGATTTCTTCAAAATATGTTCAAAACTTAACTTCACTACTTGCCAAAATGCACAGAGAATCTATTTGAGGGTGCAACTCTTCAAAATATGTTCAAAACTTAATTTCACTACTTGCCAAAATGCCTCTGATCAAAGTACACCAACAGATATAATCAGAAGCAATGAAAATTTACCGTGTCATTATCATGAGTCCCAGTATATACCACTTGATTGCACTCATGGTTATGAGGCAGGTGAGGGTTTTCCGCATCACTTCCAAAACCTGGAGATCACAATCCAAATTACGTTTAATAAAAGTCCTATATGATTCAATAATGAAAATGAAGACACTTATGAACACTAAAAAGAAAGTGGCTACCAAATTGCAGGACAGCCATCCCTGGTGCCCCAATTGACTTCCTAAGTTGAACTACATCCTCAGTGATAACACCCTGACATTCAGAAATATCACAAAGTTAGAAATGTGTGTGAGATTCATAAGGAGATATCAGTGAAAAACATGAAGTCAAAAATATTATGAGGTTCCAACTCCCATAGATGTTATACAGAAGTTGAAGCAAAGATAATACCAAGCTGCCAAGTAGTTATAGATTTCTAACAGTAAGTGCTTGATGCATCATTTGTCTTTATATTAAAGAAGAATACAACAACAAATCATGACGTCGAAGTCTTGACTTATCATAGGTCATTTCTAAAACCATAACTACAATAATAACTTCCCTACAATCTTAAGAAGTATTCCCTCCGGTTCACATTAATCTTTACACTTTCATTTTTTGGAAGTACCATATTAAACTTTACACTTCCTTATTTGCCTTACAAATCTACACCAAGCAGTGCCAAACAGTGCCAAACAGTGTCAAACAGTGTACTCTACAGTAAAGTCAAATTTATTTCCTTAATATATGTGAAGTCAAAGTGTAAAGATGAATGTGACCGGAGGGAGTAAGATTTAACCAAGGGCCAAATGGCAATACTCGTACTTGACTAGTAAATTCAATCATTCTCGAACACGCTGAAAGTTTTCCTTTAATCTAGTTTTCCTTCTACCCAACCCCTTCCACTTTCTAATCTTTGTGGAGATAGAGAGAATATAAATTCATGCACATAAAGTTATTTGTCATGTGTTATGAGGGTCAACTGGAATAAGATGTCCGACAAGAAGAGTTCACAATTACGATGGATTTCAAGCTAGTGAGGCTGCAGAATCAAATTTAAAAAGGGCATAAGTTTACATCAGTTCCCAATAACCTACCAAGTCTTCAGCTATAATAGTTATCTTTCCAACAGCTCTCGAGATGGAATCAAATAAAGGTCTTCCAGGACCCACCTACAGACAACATACAAACAGAGGAGTTTTACAAGGTACAATCAACTGAGGTGAATCGCCAGAGATATAAGAATGACTCACCTTCCAACGGCCATCCATTGCAATCTTTGCTTCTGCATAAATGCATAAATCCACAGATATAAACTGTCTGATTTCCTTTACACTAGAGGATATGATCTGTAATCACAACTTATATACTGAACAAATCTTAGTATCTTACCAGAGGGGACCGCCCAGAATCCTGCAAATCCTCTGAAATGATCTATCCTGAAGTCATCAAAAAGATCCTGTGCTCGTCTAATTCGGCATATCCACCATGAGAATCCATCTTTCTCCATAGCTTTCCAATCATATAAAGGGCTTCAGCCAAAAAAGAAAAGTCATTAATTGGAAAGGGCCTAAGTTTAGGCATCCCAGACTTGAGGAAACCACAGCAATCTTTGACAAATCAGTTATAGCATATCTTGATGACAAACGCAATATCACAGATGGCTGAAATTTAATTTTAAAAGCAATACAGACAACCACAGATAATCATGTTTCTTGATTGGTGTTAACCTGCCCCATAGCTGACCAGTTTTGCTGAAAGCATCAGGGGGGACTCCACTAACCAGAAGGGGGAAGCCTTTTCTGTTCTGTTACAACAATGATTCGTAAGTGCCAACAACAAATGCTCTGGAAAATTGTAAAAGGGATTTGGATAAAGTTTGAGTCAAGAAGAGACTAACCAGCAAAAATTGTTTTGTGTTTGCCCAAACATCTGCACTGTGATAGCCAACATAAATTGGCATGTCTCCCATTATACTAATTCCCTTGGTACGTGCATAATTGCGCAGCTTTTTCCACTGCCTTTGGAACAAGAACTGTTGAGCAATGAATATATCTATCTGTGTACCAGTTCAAATATTAGTATACACAAGTTTTTGAAATATTACAGGCTTAGAATACCGGGCTAAGCAGAGTTGTTGAGTTCTTACAAAATCCTTTTTACTTTGATAAATGTCTTCTAATGCAGCAAGATGCCGGTTTTTTAATGGTTCTGGCCAATTATACCAACTTAGTGTATTAAAATTACTGTCTATAGCAGCAAAACATGCTGCATCTTCAAGCCAACCTGAAATGGATCAATGTATATTTAGAAACTTTTATAATAGAAACAAGAACAATTCATCAAGTTAATATACTGATGATTATGTACAAGAATAAATTTCTTGAGTTATAGTGCATGGTTTACATTACATTTCAATAGGTGAAGTAGTAGCAGGGATTGATTTTCTGATTTTTCCTTTTAGTTAAAGATCAGGCTCAAGCACATAGACTGATAGACATAGCTAAAGTGCCCAATGAATTTAACAATGCTAATTAGTGAATACAGAGGTTTACCTTCCTACAAAGTACCAATTACGAACCACATGATTTTTACCAAAATTTAGTTATATTAAATGGCGGCAGTGGGCTAAATGAAAATGAAAATGATTAGTTATATTAAATGGCATGTAATAATTAGGAAAAGAAAACAGAACAACAGCCTTAACCTATTACATCTAATTTCATTGTTCAACTTTGACCATCTACAGTAGAATGTCATCCCCCAAGGCCTTCACTATGATAGCTAGATTGTCCTAAATAAATTTTAGGAAGGATGTCTCAAGTTAAAGAATTGCAAAAGTATTTATAATTGCTTTATAGCTTAACTTCACAGTAGCTTACTTGTATGATAATTTAATTTACTAATGGAGAAAAGATGAATATTTATCTCACTCGCAATATTTCTATCCTTGCGGAACTGTTGAAGCTCATATTTGAGATTCCCTCGACTGGAAATAAGCCTCTCTGCAGCCTAAAGAGAGATAGCAACCAATAAACGAGTGAAGGTACTAAGGTAAGCAGAGAAGGCTCTCACATTATGGACTACTGAGAGTAGTATTTGACTATTTATCTATTTGTTTATTACAACATCGATGGAAAAAAATTTAAGAAAACAAAGAAATTGCAAAAAGAGAGCTAACGGTGGTTAAAAAATCAGCATTTAAGAAGCTTGTTCAGAACAACTTTATCCCTACTACTTTCCCTTTACAAAAGGAACAGGGGGAGGTGGTGGGGGGTTGTGATGCCTTTTACAGTTATTGGCATTCAAAAGTAAGCTGAATATATTTTCTTTCAATATATTAAAAAGTAAGCTGAATATATTTACCCTAGCTATAAGAGGATCCTTTATTTCAGCAACACTTGAGAAATCCACACGATCCGTGAATCTGGAACAAAAACAAGTAAAGTCCTCAGTTAAGTCATGATTAGATCCAGCAAAATGGTTGTGCAACAGAGTGTTGCAGGTTATAACATTGTCTACCGAGGCTCTGGAAGCTCCTCTTTCAGCAGCAAACCATCATCCACGAGTTCTTCAAGTGAAATTAAAAGGGTGTTTCCACAATTTGCATCCTGAAAGTAACCATAGGTAGAACATTTTTAATTTCTTAAGGTTCAAATGTGAGATTCAAAATGATGTGTAACGGTAATACCTAAAGCTCTGAAGCAGGATTACAAGCTTTGACAAAAGAAGAGAAAACAAAACAACATGAGAAAGGGGGAAAGCAATTCCTATTTCATATCTTCAAAGTTTTAAGCAGAGGGAAATGTTTTTTTATATAATGATATAATTAAAAAAACTGCTCCTTTTTGTGTATCTACCTATGAAATACAGCATCCAATTTATGTTAAAGGGACACAGCCAACTAAAAACAGGAGTGAATAACTCACCTGGCCCGAATAAGGTGATCCTTCCTCATTGGCTCTTCTTCCAGGAGGAACAAGAGGAAGTACCTGCACAGAAGCACCCGACATGCATAAATGGAGAAAATGGCACTCTTCATTTTGAATGAATAGGAACTTAAAGTAGCAACTTAGTTGTCCAGCAGGATCACGCTTTTAATACCAACATCATATTAACAATGGCAGACCAGACTGGGAGCTAAAATTCAATAATGGAAGCACAATGTACAAACAGTAACACTAATCAGACGCTTGCAAGTTAGAAAGGGAACAACTTCCATAGTTATACTAAAAATGAACGGACTCGATAACTCCATTGGTATCTAGATAAGACAGACAGTACAAATAAAAGGTAGCAAACCTGCCAAAGAGAGCAACCGGCGTCGTGAAGCCAATCGAGGAACCGGAAAGCCTGGGGACCTAGGTCTCCGATGCCATAAGGGCCAGGAAACGATGTGGGGTGGAGGAGCACTCCAGCTCTTCTGCGATCACTAGCAGAGGAGTTTCGATTGGGGGTCCAGTTCGCATAGTCGAGGGGTAAGTCATCTCCGACGGCGGCAGTGACGCTAGCGTTATGACAATTCACCGCTAGAAACTGTTTCCGGCGACATAAAGTGCGAACTGGAGTGAAGAGAACGGTGGAGGTGGTAGAGACTTTGGGGTTGGGAGGGGATAGAAGAGAGAGAGGAAGTGAGAGAGAAGAGTGGAGGGTCATTTGATTGATTTGATTGACGGGCAGCGAGGAACTTAACAACTTGTTTGCAGAGAAGAGTTTGGATGGTTAGATGTTCATTGCTATGGAGGACTGGGCAAGAAAATGCAGAATTGCAGGTAGCTGGAGTTAGATCGGGAAGGGAACATGTCACATGTTAATACAGGAGCAGAGGACGTGGGGTACTCTGGGTAGTATGGCAATCCGCCGCCGCTGTTTGGAATCTAGAAATCTTTACGGACGTTCTCGGCGCACCTTCAATATTACTTGGCGCACCTCTTTTATTCCACTACTGGACTGATTTGTCCTCTCGCTGGCTTACTCACAAAACTTAAGAAGCGCACCAATGGAATGCATTTCAAATTTATTCAGTTTCTTTTGGAATGTTTTCAGTCGCAGACCAGACCAAACCAGACTTAAACAGACCAGACCAGACCAGACCAGACTTAAACAGACCAGACCAGACTTCCGTAGTTATAAAATACACAGAGACCAGCCGTTTACCAGACCAGTTCAGACCAGACCAGACCAGACTTAAACAAACCAGACCAGACCAGCAAATTTCAGTCCAAAAGAAAACATCCTTACTACAAATTAATTATAAAATCAAAACCATTCTCACTTAAAAACCCTTTTTATATTAGTCAACTTAATTGTTTTTTAGATTTAATAATTGACATTATTTGAAAAGCCATCAATAATCATATCTACTACATAGTACTCACTCCGTGTACTTTAGGAAATTATTTACTCTTTTAATTACATTTTATTACAATTTCTTTTTTCTACTCATCACATGTAACTCTTACAATTTCCTCTCCCTCAACTTATCTCTTTAATTACTTTCAGTTTAAATGTTTACTTTTTCTAAATGTTATCTTTCCTCTCTTTTTTACCCAAGTTATTTTATTTAACCACTTGAAAAAATATATTTTATGGATTTTTAATACTTTTCAAGTGTATTTATGTGTAATAGAAGAAATTATATACTTAAGGCATTTAAAAAAATAAGTATTGCAAAAAAAAATAGTATTGCAGTTTTTAAAAACCAAATTTTTAATTTTTATCACTTCTAAAATAAATTAATAATTTATCTTAATCTCCCAAGATCGGTGTAAATAATACACCGTAGTTAATAATAACAAAACTATTAAAAATGTACTTAACAAAAATAATTTTTAAAATGATTAAAATTTTAAAAAATCAGAAAAACAAAGTTGGTAAATATAAGCACACATATGAGAGGCATTTCGGATATAATAATAATAATGAATTTCAAAAACATGGTAAATATGATTGTGTGTAAATATGCACCAAAAGGTTATAATTAGTCGTAGAGTTACGTTGATTTTGAAGTTGATTAAAATTGAATTGCCGGGTCACGTGTAAAGCTTCAAGCAGTAATTTTAATCTTCAAATCAATTAAAGGATGAAGGTTAAATTAGTCATGTAAGGTTAGGTTAAGTAATAAATGGGGTGCGCTTATCAATGCCCAATCTTTATGCTCCTATCATTCTCTACGACTCTACCCAAAAGTAACAAATAAGCCCTCGAACTAATTGATCATTTGCAATCAAGCTCTCCAACCTATTGGCCGTGCAACTAAACCCTTTAACCCGTAAAATTCATTCAATTGGGCCCTCTTCACCGGCTGCTTCCCGTCCTTACCCGGTAAAGAGGTAGTTGGCGTTGACGTGGCTGGTTGGTAGCTTTCAATGCTTCATTTACACATGACATGTACTTTAATCAGCTTTATCTCCCTTTATTTCTTTATATTTCTTTTTCATCTATCGTCCTCATCTCTTGTCTTCTTCATCGATCTTCTTCCTCCAGCCTAACGAGTCTGCTCGTTTGTCTACTTTCTCGATCTTCTTCCCCTGGAAAGCATAAACTTGGAAAATGGATTTCGCCAACTGTAACCCTATTTGACAAGCGCGTCCAGTTCTTCGCAGAGTTCTACACGAAAAACAACCCTAAATTATGAACCCCGTTCTATTGTCGATGCGGCCTTAAAGCTCCTCTGTGTGTTTCACGCGAGAGTGGTAGGAAATTTCTAGGATGCCAAAATTGGATGGTAAAGATTCATTTTTTATATAATTTCATCTGAAATTATACATGTAATATTTCCTGTTTTTTATTAATATAATTTCCTGTTTTTTTAATACAAACATAATCCTTCCTCATTTATTTTAACATTACATCTGAAATTATACATGTAATATTTCCTTTTTGTGAATTTCTTTATTTAGGATGGTGAATGTAAGTATTTTGTATGGCATGATGAAATGAATTTGGTTATTCAAGAGCAGAATGTTGTTGATAGACCACAGGGGCAATTGCGGTTCCCAGATGTGAATGTTCAATTGCAACAAATGAAGGACATCATTTGTGATTTCAGAGAAGAATTCCATGCTAACCAAAGTGAATTAGCTAGGGTCAAGTGGTCTGTTATAGGGTTGTTCATGGTGATTCTTGTAATTGGGATATGTTCAGTTAGAGGTCCTAATGTATGCTAGGTTATGAGTATTGATTTTGAGCTTGTAGTTTAACTTTTGTGTTTCTGAACATGTGACCCTTTGAATGGTTTCAATGTGTAATTTTGATTTGTTAGTAATGTTAATGTTCTGTGGAAGAGTGAAATGTTATGGTATTAAACATTATTGAATGATATAGTTATTCTACTTTCTAGTTATTATGTTGGGTAGGAGGTTCAAGTACTTTGAGACCGGTATGCATTTTTAAAAAAGGAAGAAAAAGGAAGAAAATCACATGTCTTTGTAAAGGAAAAAGCTTCCATGAAACCTCATTAATTTTGTTTGGATATGGACATATAATGACATACAAAAGAATTCTTGGGATACCCTGTCACTGTGAATGATTTGGTAAATGTTTATAAAGTTAATTTCATATTCCAGAGTTGGGTAGTGAATACTTCACTTTTCAGCACATACAGAGCGTATGATGCACTTTAAGCAGGATTCTTTGGTTGGTTAAACTCGTTTAGATGGATGTCTGATTGTCTGAAGGCATATTTTTTTGTAATTAAATTGTGGTATCCTTAGTTCAATGTGGTTGGTTGGTTCAATGTGGCCTGCATATTGACAGTTTGCTGCATATTTTGTGGCCTTCACTTAGTAGATAAGAGGTTTAATTATAGGGTTTTTTATAAGAATATTACTAGAATAAAACTTAATTACATAAATATGACTATTCATTACTACAATGTAGCGTTGTGGTAACTAACGTTCAAAATTTGAACATGAATTACTATGATTTCATTACTACTCTAGTAACTAGTCATATTTTTGTAAATCATCTTTATTTTGGTCATATTTATGTAATTATTTCTTAATTATAAAAAAATACTTGTAACAATGCACAACACTTCAACAATAATTCATTACGAACACTGAAATTATAGCCAAGATAATCTGCCAAATGTGTAGCATACAACGGATAGCAAAAATTGCATAGTATCTCCAAATAAAAGCTGTCAATTATAGATAATGGTTGGCAGCTGATTACAAAAACACAGTGGCCTGGTTAAACACCATCCTAGTTGCCAAGTACTACACTTAAGCTTCCAACTCCAAAATAAAGCTGTCAAATATATTTAAAGTAGGCAGCTGGTTACAATTAAAACAAAGTGGCCTGGCAAATCAGGCTGATTAAGCATCATTTCAAAACCAAGTACTTCTTCCTAACAAAAGCAAGTCCATAATCTAGTTTCCATCTTCAATGACTAGATCACCATATTGGCCGGGCTGCACAGAAACGATCTAGAAAACAGGTGGCTGTAAGGAATTACATTCATATTAGTTGAAAGAAAAATGTGAAGTACTAAATACTGCAACAAATTCTTACATTCAAATATGTTGTACCAGTGTTTGGATCGCTATAAACACCAAATCCTGCCTCCTTTGCTCCCTTTTTATGTTTCCTTCTTCTTATCACAGTTGAAGTTGGTTGTTCAGTGGCCTTTGTAGGGCATTTGACCTTTGAATGTCCTTGAACATTACACAAAGAACATGTCATTATTCTGCCTTTTCTCGAAACTCTTTCCCCACTTTTTTGAGGAGCCTCTTCTGTTACCTCCCAGACCCTTTTCTTCTTTGGCCTGCCGCTCATTTTCTTTGGGATAGGTGCAAGAATCTCTTCTGTTTGAATCTTGGGCCATAGCATTTCTCCATTCATGGGATTCAGTGTATGCTTATAAGTCTTCAAATACACTTCTTTTGAATAGCATTCATCAATGAAGTCTTCTGGTTGCACCCCCTTGTCAAAAATAGCACACACAGCGTGTGCGCATGGAATACCAGTTAAATCCCATGACCTGCAACTACACATCCTTTTGTCCAACTTCACGGTGAAGTGCATTCTTCCTTTTTTTTTATTTCATACCCATTATCACCATTGAAATCATCCTGTGAGATACATATTTACTCATTAAATTATACAACTTAATTTGCTACATAGTACATAAACCTGTAAGAAATATACTCACATGTCAGCCCATGCTATGTAAGATGTTTTTCTCAAGTTGTTTCATAATGAAACATCCATGATTACCGTTCCAATTCTTCACACTTTTTTTCTTCTTTGCAATTCTGCACATTACACCCACTCGAATTGCTTCAAGCATCGGAATGCTTGGTTTTTGTCTTGCCTTAACTAGGGTGGAATTGAAGGCTTCAGACAAGTTATTATCAATAGCATCACACTTCACCTGTGTTTGAATAAATGCTTTTGACCACAGTGAGGGACTGTATTTCTCCAAATCATCCTTGGCCTTCTGATCTACCTTTCTTAATGCTTCCATGTTGTACATGAACTGAGCTTCATTAGTAGACCGAGCATATAGCCAAAAATGTTTTTTCATCACTTTACCTCTTTGGCTCTTACTTCAATTGGCGTGGATATGCCTAGCACAGTTCCTCACTTCTGCATTTGGAAATAATTCATTGATTGCATTTAGTAGTCCCTGTAAGTAAAAAACAAACAAATCATTCAAGTAAAAAACAGAATACTAAATAAACCTAAGTAGAGAATTTAACTATAAAACAGTAAACTAAAAAACCCAGTAAGCAACAAACTAATATTTCAAGTAGAGAATTTAACTATAAAACAGTAAACTAAATAAACCAGTGAGCAACAAACTAATATTTCAAGTATAGAATGTTACTATAAAAACAGTAAACTAAATAACCCAGTAAGCAACAAACTAATATTTCAAGTAACAAACACTAAACTAAAAAAACACAAAGAAACAAACAAATAGTCCAAGTAA